GTATTAATAGTTTATTCTCGTATTAATAACTGCAAAAGTTTTTTGATATCTTAAAAAACAACCTACAAACGTATTACATCCTATAAGAAATAATAGAAGTTGCCATCTTCAGTCATTGTAAAGTAGGAATAATACTGAATTTGATATCACGTGAATAATAGACTCATCATCTATTTTTGCTCCAAAGAGCTAACATAAGCACAATACTAACATAACGTTAACTTGCGGACTTTTTTGCTCCAATATTGCTTGATAGGTCAGCTCTGATAGTATAGGAGCCTAACAAATTATAACAATAATACAAACAATCTAGCCAATATTACATTACGTCATATTACATTACCAACTAAATGTTATTTTGATATTTTTTGAATAAAATTTGCTTTTGCCTTGATATTTATTAAACAGTTTTCACAATACTAAATCAAAATAATTAAGAAATCTTACTTGTTTGTGCTCACCAAATATAAGGAAACTTGTCGAATTATAATTAAATATTACAGTATATGTAATTTACTTTTCAAAAAGAATAGAGCTATAAGATAGAAAATATCACTCTTGTTATCTTCAAGATATTTGAAAACTGTATCGTTTATAGCGAAATTTAAAACAATGGCTAACTTTTAACCAATCAGAAAATTCCATTTCGATTTTCGCTGATATCTCTGAAACGGCTTGTCGCGGAATGTTCTAATGTCGACAGAAACCTTCCTCGTGCTTTGAACTATCTGTATGCCAAGTTTCATAGCTTTCTCTCGGATGGTTTAGGAGTCTATAGAGGACAAACAGACACACATTCACTTTTATATATATAGATGACTCATATTCGCTTCTGATCTGCTAAGCTAAGTTCGAAATCGTCGCAATACTATATTTGTTCTACGAGTAAATTTTGATTTACAAACTAACTTTATTTCTAGAATTTGTGAATCCATGTATCTTTCTCCTAAGTTATTGATGTTTACTTATATTGTCTCGTGAAAGTAGAAACTTTGCTGACTCTTATTTGTATCTTATTTAATTGAAATTATAAATATTTGTGTAACTGAATGCCAAATGTGGCGGTAGCTACTTTATACCACTTAGTGTTAACTATATGATACCAAGTAGAGCAGTTTTTGAAGTTCATTTACGTCGCACTAGAGCTGCACAATGGGCTATTGGCGACGGTCTGGGAAATATCCCTGAGGATCATCCGAAGACTTATGATCACAATTTTGTTCCTCTGCAGAGGGGATGCCCCCCCCTTCGGTAGCCCGACGAACTGCGTGCGAAGTCGAGCACTTTACGTTAGAACAGTTTAGCGAGGATCAATACCGCACACCTTTGGACCCATCGCAGACGGATCGAAGTAGTCACACACCTGAACACTGACCGTAGCCACTGATGCTTGACTACCAAGTAGTGTAACGAATTTTCTTGGTGCTTCACTACGCAAGGAATTGTCCTTGGTTCTGCACCACTTTGTTGTAAAGCAATTGTCAAAATTTTTTGTTTTAGGAAATAATAATTTTTTACATAATATACCGACTTTCTTAACAAACTACGTGGAAAACTTTGCTACTTCCACAGAGGAAATTATTGCAAATTTTTAAAAAAAAGGTGAAAAAGGGAAGCATCGCTTTGTTAGATTTGAACAAAAAACACTTGATCTAGAGATTTTTTCCTCAAAAATGTAAAGTTTTAATTTATAGGGTTAGTAATTTTGAATAGATAATTTAATGCCATAAAATGGTCTGTTCTTAGATTTGTAAAAACATGCTTTTTTTTTTTTTTTAAACTGCTGAAAACTAATTTGAATGAAGCTAAGAAAATTTTTTTTTACGCAAGTTTTTAAAAAAAAATATATACTGAATTCTATGATAATTCTAATAACGAACAAACTTGCAGAAATGCTGGTTACAGAATTATATTGGCATAATTTTGTCTGAAACAATCAATAGAAAATCTAAAATATTCCGCACTGTATTTCACAAATTCTGCTTAAGAAACGACTTTGAATTTCACGTTTTACTTTTTGTAAACAGAAAAGGTGCCTCAAGGTTGCGCGATTTCCCAACTCTCCACATTTTTTCCCCTTCCGTTACCATGGTTTCAGCCAATTTTACTTTTTCTCCATGTTATTACATTCCAGTAAGAAGTCTAGATTTAATGACTTTGGAAAAATAGAGACTTACCAGCACCATAGTAATGGAGTAGAGAAAATTGCATAAGCTTCAGACGCCTATTTGTATTATTAAGAGTATAATAGGATAAGGAAAGGAAGAGTAAATACTCAATATCAGTTTATGTGAAAAAATTAAATAAAGATGAATAAAAGCATACATAGGATTTACTTTCTCCGTCTGCATTCCTCCAGAGGAAACTTTAATCTTTGCATTTTAAATTAATTGTTAGCAATATGTACTAAAATAAGAGTATTTTCAACGGAGTATTACTTTTATAAACAACTTATTAGAGCCACTATGGCTCAGGGGATAGAGCGTTTACCTTCCAATGAGGCGAAACGGGTTCGAATCCCAGTCGATACGAATTCCGCATCCGACTTGCACCGACCGAAGTGCTGATGTGAACCACTGAGGACGAAGTCCTCAGTGGTAGACGGATCAAGGGTTAGAGTCCCCTTGCCGTTCGGCTCACCGTGGGACGTTCTCGTGGTCTTCCTCACCGTGTAGCGCAAATTCGGGTTACCTCCATGAAAAAGTCCTCCACGAAGGCAAATTTCTCCCAATACCCGATCCAGGTGTTCCCTTGTCTTCTGGATTGGGTTCAAAATTACAAGGCTACGGAGTTGAACACTAGTAGTCGTAAACCCATAAAATTGAGTCGGCTGTTCAACGACGGTAATAAAAAAAAACTTCCTAATGTTTGTATGCATTCTAGGTGTAATTTTCAAAAATTCACTAAAAGTTCAATTAACCACTTTAAGCTCTTGAAATAGGTTCAGAGATAGCATAGTTGGTAGGACTTTGGGCTTGTGTGTCTGAGATAGTGAGCCGGCCGAAGAATCCCCATTTATTAAATGGTGACTGGTGAACTTTAAATTTGTCGGTGTCCCGAAGTCCTTCAAGTTCCCATAACAAATCAATACCCTTTAGGGGTTATTGAATCGGGGATTGATCGTTCCCTGGTTCTTGTCAAAATTATGATCTGTAAAGGAATGAATGGAGTATCAATGGGTGCCCCCTGTAAAACGGGCTGTGACGTGCGTGGGGCTGAGTCCGTATTCTTGGTTATAGATGACACCACAGGAAAATAAAAGGCGCAGCCTATTCCTTAACAATTCGCTTAGGTTCCCATATCAGAATTGCTAATTGGTAAGTGACATAAATAAAAACAACAACAAGCTCTTAAAATACTTATTTACAACCCACTACCACGGTGCTTAAAAATAACGAGCCTATTTTGTAAACTAATTTACTCACTTTTATACAAATTCGGAAACGTATTTTGTCGGTTCGTAAATTCTAGTTTATAAATTAATGATTCTACATCATATTTTAAGAGAAGCTTAATTTACGACGTCATTTCTTAAATCTGAACTTTTTTTTAAACTTTTTTTTCGATGCAAGAGCTAGGAAAAATTTGCTTTCTTTGAATTTATGGAAGCTTTAAAGCCGATAACTACTTCACGTAGGTTTGGCGAAGTCTCAAAAGTTGTTTCTCTAACTTAAAAGCCAAGTAATAAATTATCGGATTTAAAAAAAATGTAACTGTCTTGTCAAAAGGATATAGTACTTTTTAAAATTTATAACAGAAAAATGTGGGGAATTTTGAAAGAAAGTGTATGAAATTATTTTTTCTTGAAATACACTATGGTCATCTATCAATGCGTTTAAACATAAAATAACGAAAAAAGAAAGTCCAATCATCAAATGGCTAGAATCAAGAATCAAATTCATGTCAATTATATGAGAGTGATTTTATTCGGGCTGTAGAGTTCAGATTTTAAACCATTCATTTATATTCGAATGTAAAGGTTTTTTTTTTTACGGTAATCAATTACAAAGATTAGTTGATAGTTCACAAAAGGAACTTTTCTTATTTTATAATAATTTAATTTTAAATTTCCTTTAATAGTATTATATATAATGTGTCATTAACAAATAGTGCTTCAGGTAGTTTTTTGAATAAGTTAAACCTTGAAAAAAGTTAAACAAAACTAGCAAAAATTATGAAATGTTTCACATTTATTTTAAAAAATCTTGAGTTGAAAAGATATTGATTCTAGACGATTA